AGGGAGGCATAAGCTTTCACAGGCAACACCATCAATGTTTATCAAATGTATCTGTACATTGAAGTGCCACCCTGACCTACAGGGGATATTCAAGGCTTTAATGGTCAGAATTCTATGATTTTGGTGCACACCTGAAAGGGGAATTGGGGAACATAGAAAGTACCTGGGATCTGTGTAGCAGACATGAGCTTCAACCATGCGTTGAATTGTTGATGCTCGGAATGACATCCCTCAGAACAAAAACGTGATGGGAAATTAATGATGGCATCCTGAAATAGGGGAATGGGTAAGTGGCATTTGGGGAAAGAGGGACAACTAGATTGTTGGAACAGAACCGTGGCATGTAATGGAGTGAAGAATGGAGAGACACAGAGCCTGGGGCATGGGGAGCCTAGTGAATGAAGAGAGAATGCAGGCCAAACATCATGGAAAGGAACAAGCTACCTCAGGCATGGGTGGGCAGACAGGACCACTGGAGTAGGGGTAGGGGCAGGCCTGATTGATGGGGCCTTATGTAGCTGGGGTTGGAGAAGTGGCACATGGAGCTGGTGTGGGGGGAAAAGAGAATGGGATGCAGATGGCATGTGTTCAGTGAGCTCTGTATACAGAAACAATGAAGTGCAATCCTTTCGTTTGTTAATAGCTATGGTGAAAACCGTCCTAGAATACATAATGGCTAGCATCGATATTTAAAGTTTCACTATCGGGAGGTATCTTGGTGCTGGCTGGTAGATGGATGAATGCCTGTTTTGTTATAGGCAGACAAAGTTCTTTGGGTGAATATGATATCTTTTATTAGACCAACTTAAATAGTTGGGAGAAAAAAATGTAAGCATGCTTTCAGGTTTAAAAACCCTTCGTCAGGCTGAGGGTGCTCTTCCTGGATGGAATGAAAAGTAAAGAAGCCAGAGGCTGGGCTGGTATACATGCAAGACGGGCAGTCAATGAAGACGTAAATTGAGGAGTGGGTGAGAGACAGACTGGGTTGGGGGGAGAAGGGGGATGAATGTATCAGTTAAATAGTGGAAAGGTACTTGGGGAGTCAGATGTCAGGCAGGTTATAACATGTCATAAACCCAATGTCTATATTTAATCCATGATTTTTAGTATCCAGGAGGTCGATTAAGTGAAGTTCGTAGTCTTGTCTCTGAAAAGTGTTTTGTAAATTTCCTTTGAGGATTAGAACTGAGAGATGGGAGAGAGAGTGGTTTTCTTGTGAGAAATGGGCCCCCACTGGTAACTTGGGTATTCCTGTCTTTGCTCGATTTCCGGTGTGCGTTCATTCTGGTGCACGGTTTTTGTTTGGTCTGTCCTGTTTTGTTATAGACACTATCATAATTGCCCGCTTAATTAATTTGATCTCCATTTAAGACATAGGCCCTTGCATTTCACTGTGGGTGAGACAGTGCTGCTTTTGCGCAGTCTTGAGATACTACTAAAGAATTGTTTCACACATCTTTTTGGCATGTCTATGGATTCACTGGAAGATAGCTGGATGAGAGAGCATGCCTAACAAGGAACTTTGTTCCTTGAAGCTGCTTTGGGAGCTCCAATGTGTTGAATGTGGCACTGAGCTTTACTAAGTGCTGAATGCAGAAACTAACTAAGATTTTCACCAGGTCTTGTTTGCAGCATGAAAGTTAATTTCAGTTCTGGAGTCTGTTTACTTTCTTTCATAGTCTCAGTTGTCATGAAGCAAAAGTTGATTAAAAAGAAAAATGATACCTCCTCGTGGTTGATGTGTCCTAAATGAGCAAGCAGATCACATTTCCCCCCCCCCCCAACCCCCCCAGGCCTTTTTTCTGCTTTATTTAGGCAGCGCATTTGTTCAGCCACTGGGGTATATTTCAGAAATTTGTATGATATTGTTTATCTTGTTGATCAGGTACCTTTGTTTTTCTCATCGTTTTTATTACTTTCTAATGAGTGTCTCTTGTTTTGTTGTGATAGCTGTATGGTGTCTCTGAAGATAGTTCTTGAGAATCATTTTTGTATGTTTCTTCCTGATCCACTCAGATCCTAGCCTTTTTCTCTTCCCTTTTCAAACTATCTCTCCAATACACTTCTAGAAGTTGGAAGTAATTTTTGAAGCTCTGTTGATGGTAGACTTCAGAAACTGGAAGTGCATCTAGCATCTCCTATCTGAAACAGTAGTAGTAATATATATATATATACTACTAGTAATATACTATATTGGTAATATAGTACTAGTAATTATTTATTTATTTTTATTTATTTTTTTTTTTTTGTGCACTGTGCTGTCGAGGAAGATAACACATAATGTCATAAAGGTATAGAAACGCATACTGGATGTGATCTTGAAGCCCAAAACTAATCCCGGTTTATTAGATCTTGGATGATTTAGTAGATCCGCCTTAGCTGTGATACAAGTTTGGGTCATTTTATTTTGCACCTCAAAACTCATTTTAAGAATGCCAGTGAATGCTGGCAGTTCATTGGAAAGCTTCAGGATTGTTTCTGTATCTGTATTGTTGAACTAGATGAACATCCCATGTTAAACTGTATATCTGTGTTGCCCTGGGGGGTCAGGCCAACTGTCAGGATCTCAATATTGCGCTGTTAGACAGGAGGGTGTGACACAATTGCACATATACAAAACACACACAAATCGATTAGGTGCATACACACACACTACCAGCTCAGGCGCATACACACCCAAACCAGCCTAGGCACATGCATACTTATAACCAATTCAAGCACATACACCCCAAAAGTTAGACACTGATCACTGATTCATACATCATGCGCACAATGCCATTATATATATATGGAGCAAGGCTCCAGCTGCTGGGGCAAACTACAGGACAGCCAGTAGGAGCTGGGTAGCTGCAGGATGGGCGGGGTGAGGATTACAGAAGGTGCGGGGGAAGCCTGAAAACTAATCAACCCATGTTGACACCCCGCTCAGTATTTATCAGACCAGTTCTAATCTGGATTTACAAAGGACTTCCCCCCCCCCCCCCCCCCCCACACACACACACAGCGGCAGCAGGGGTTAAAGAGGTTTGGTGCAGGGGCTGAAGTCCCCTGAAGTCCAGGAGGAGAGACAGAGAGAGAGAGTCCAAATTGTAGGCGGAGGTATGCAGGTAATATCTACCTATCCAGGCTGGAAGGGGTCCTTGTCCAGTAGGTGTTGTCCAGAGGCGGGTCTCTGGCAGGGCCTCTGGATGGATAGGTGGTGTGGCATGGTGCTGGTCCTGGTGGAAATGGCATTCCCCCTGGGTCTGTCTTCACTGCCCCTTTTTATAGGGGCAGACCTTGTATGACCCTAGTGACAGGAGGCATGCCCAGGCAAGGGTCAGCCCCTGGCGTACTGAGCATGTGTGCTCCTTGCAGAGATGTGCAGTTTCGGGTGTCTGTAATGGTGAGAGTTGCTGGTTCTGCAGGGTCTTTTGACTTTCAGATGCTGGTTTTGTCTCTGTTCCTGGGTGAGGTCCATGGTTCCTGGGTGAATCAATGCAAGGTGATGGTCCAGTCATTACAGGCCATTCAGTAGAGGCCTGCTACCATTGTATTTCAATCAGTTCCAATCACACTCATTCATCCGGGAACCAATTTACACGTGAGGGGTATGTGACTCATACAGTTGCGACACAGGGGATGCCCAGGCAGAGGACAGAAGATAGAGGCTTGACATATAAAATGGAAACTTGACATGACTTTGGTTCACTTACAAACACGGGCCTAAGCCATACAATATCCATATGAAACAATAAAAATCAATACGAAAATGATAATAATACAATATACAACAGTGGATATCCCAAACCAAAACCTTGCTACCAAAATAAAAATGTTTAAAGCTTATCCTAAATCTGAGCTCACTTATACTTATCTATAGGGAATAGAGAGGGAGAGAAAAAGGCAGAAATGGTTGGGGAAGGGGAGGGGGAAAGCATTTTAAAATAAATACCAAAAAAAAAAAAAGAAGAAAAAAAAATGGGGGGTTTTGCTACAGCTACATCTAGATGAGCACAGACATAGCAGCGCAGGGGTATTTTTTGGCCCCGGGAGATACCGGGGTTAAAAATACCCACACCAAAAAAAAAGCAGAGTAGCGCACACAAGTGGCAGTGTGTGCTGCCCTGAACTGGAGCCTGGCTGGCTGGAGCCACGCTCCAGCTGCCAACCAGGCTCCCTGCCGCAGCTGCAACCCCGGAAAGCCCCCAGGGACCCTGGTTGTTGGCCCCATCCTCTCCTATCTCACCCAGGGTAACCTGCTGCACGCCAGAGCGCGTGTGGCACAGGCATTCCCTGTGGACAAGTAGTAGCAGTGGCACAAGGTATGCCACAAGGTGTGCCACTGCTGCTTGTCCCCAGGGAAACAAATGTCCATGCTCCTGTGGATGCGGGCTATGGGCATCTATTTACACGTGTAATTAGCATGGTGCAATAAACTCCAGCACAGTTTCCATTGCAGTCGGCGGCTTCTAGTGCAGTGTATATATGTGTGCCTGGGACTGCAGCAGTTAAAGCCAGGGCAGAGTAGCCCTGGGCTGGCAGCAGCCGCAGGGGGTCAGCCCCGGTCATGGCGGAAGGGCTGGTTGGGTGCTACAGTGCATAGCAGGCAGCCCCAACACTACAGCACCCTCGTGCCCCGGCCAGCCCTGGTCACTACCTACATGTGTGTTGTGGCAGTGTAAAGTACTCCACTGTAGGATAGTACTTGTCCCAGACAGCACTGTCCTACAGCAGAGTTAGTTCATTTACTGCGCTGTAATACAGGCGCATGTGTAGACAGTAACACTTCACGGTGGAGCTAATTGGTCAACTTCACAGGTGATTCCAATGTACTAGGCTCTACAGACATGTCATGGAAAACCGATACTGCTACAAAAAATGAATATTTAATTTTTAAGTTCAAGTTCTTGCATTCTAAAAATTCAGGATGACTAGTTTTGATAATATCTGCTTTATTAAATCTGTTTGTCTAATACAGTTCATGTGAACATGCTCACCAATCCTAAAATATTTTTCAGGCATCGTTCCCTCTTCTGTTGTCCTGACTGCTTTCCAGGTGATGTCAAGGGTTTTTTTGACATGGGCAGTAACACACAGTGTAAAAGAGGTAAGTGAACCAATGCAGAATGAAGGGCGAATGGGTGAGTGGTAGAAAGAAGTTAATATTGGTCATAGTCTTGCTGTATTTACAAATGTTCTCTCCCTCCTCCCTTTTCCCTCTCCTCCCAATATAAAAATAGTTTATATGAGTTTCTCTACATAAGAATATTTTACTTCAGCTCAAATCACATTCATTATAATGCAGTATTCTATTTTTCTGACACCCTAATTATATTTGTGCACCATCCTAAAGCTACTGAAATGGTTGGAAAAAATTTGCTTGCTGGTATTTTACTTCACTTGTGGTGACCCTCCACATAAAAGTATAAAGCAAAATAGAATAACCTGCTGTTTTTCCAGATACTACAGGACTTCTTCAGATCATAAACATTTGTTCCGATTCTGTTTTCTCCCTTTTACAGTCTTCTGGACTCTTAAGTGTTTTGTAGTTGAACCCAAGCTCTTCCTTTCCAAAATGGGTATTTTATCACCCTGGTCTAGGTTTTGATGGGGAAGATGCAATATTTAATTTGCTAGTTACTGAAACTTAGATATTCTGGGAAATATTTGTAAACAGGTCATGGGGCTACTAGAGCCAGTAAGAGATTGTCACTCTCTTTACTTTTCATTCCATCCAGGAAGAGCACACACCAACTGCTGAAACTTCCTTAGCCTGACGAAGGGTTTTTGAACCCGAAAGCTTGCGTAATAATTGTTTTCCAACTATTTAAGTTGGTCTAATAAAAATCAGATTCACCCAAAGAACCTTGTCTGCCTATGCCCTTAGACCAACACAGCTACAACCTAGACCCCTGTCACTCTCTTAGTGAAATTCCTCACGGGAATTCCTTTCATCATTCTTTCATGGCACTCGATTCCACTGTGTAATTTTGATTTGGGCAACACCAAATTGCTGTATCCTGAATTTTGATAATTTATAATGTCCTTTTCCATTCAGCTTTTCATTGAAGCAGATAGCAAAGCTCCTTTTACTCAGAGCTGGAGCAGGATCAAGCATTGTAGCCAATTCCCATTCTCTAAGAAGCTCTCATTACTTTTCTAAATAAAATTTCTAATATTATTTTCCTTGTACAGAGATGAAATATTTGAAAGGTAGTTATTTGCCTTTTAATGATAAAGAAAACAACAAGAATAGTTAAATGTACTATAATAGTTCCCAAAGTGTGACATGGACTGTCCAAATGTGTGGGATGATTGTATAAGAATATTAATTTATTTAAAAAAAACCCAGAAGAAAAGAATATAGTATATGAACAACGTTGTCAGGATGGTCAGAGTGGATTTTGTTGGGTTTCTAAACCGACCATGATTTTGGTAAGTTTTCTGTATTGTCTTACACCTGCCCAGGAAGACAAATGAACCAAACCAAAGCTAATGCTTTCTACCTCCATCTGCCCCAGAAGCCTAACTAAGATTTTAAAAGAGATCCTCATGACCCTTAAATCATTTTTATGGGCACTGTTTTCTAGGATATAGTCCCCAGTTCTGAAAATATGCTCTGCATCCTTCTTTCCTCTATCTATACCTTTTAAATGCGCCTGTCTTAAGATGTGTTTTGTTTGAATGGCTCCAACTTGCATAGGAAACCAGAAGATCTGCAGTCTGTGCTGTCCTCATTACTAGCCAGACTGCATCATCTGCACATTTCATCAACGGTGTCTAAAGTAGTGGTCCTCGTCCTGATCCAGGTGCAACCTTACAGAAACACCCATATTTGATGATATCCTGCTGAGAATCACTTCATGGAGATCTGCTGCTGAGTTCTGACTCCATCTGTGTGCACTTTCACCTGTTGTTGTTATTTTTTTCCATCAGAATATAGGCATTACCAAGTTAAATGCCTTAGAATTATTTTACATCTATAAAGTTTCCTAGACTTGTTATCTCATCAAAGATTGAAGTTACTTCTGGTATAACTTTCTGCCAAAAGTACATCTTGGTTCATTATTGGCTAATTATTTCCTGTGTTCCTTTTATGGACAGATACCCACAAGTATGTGTCCCTGTTGCCATAGTCTGCAAAGCTGTCTACTAAATTTTCCTTATTCCTATGTTTGTTTTTCCTAGCTTGCCTATGCATATATGTTAATTATAAGGCCTTACAACCATGAACTTTTTCTTCCTACTGTCATGATGCTTGTTCCTTTAGTATTGTATTCCACACAGTTTAATACAATTACTCGGGAAGCAGAGAGAGACAAAACATTTTCCAATAAAAATTCAAAACGCTTGAGTAAATACTGTGCTCTACTGACAGATCTCACTGTGAATCCAGATAATTGTAGTTAGGGTCCTTATCGGCTCTAAAGGGGGAGTGTGGGGTGGGAAACCTCACTGGTGGTAAGTGCCTAATTTCAAGTAAGCTAAAAAGCAAAGGCTTCAGGAAATAGAGTGATTAATCTAAAACATTAATTCTTTAAGAAGCCCCCTTAGACAATACATGAAACTATCCTTGCCAGTTCTGTTGCATTTTGAACTGAATAGTTCTTTTAATGCAAGAATAATGGTAAAGGACTTATCCATGCTGAATAATTTTTTTCAGTCTTAACACCATAATCATTAAGGATTGGGCTGTCTGTGCTACTGTTTTATTATCCTAAGATTTAGGTTTATGGATGGTGAGGACTTGGGTAATGCTAGCTGCCTTCAAGAATGGCTTTCCTACTACCCAGAACAGTAACAGTAAAGCAGAGAGCAGGTCAGGTGAGGAGAGTCTCTCGATTTTGTGCACCAGCAATGATGCCATAGCATCTGGGTAGATGTTTTTACACTGTCATGAGAGTTTTCTGCTTTTTCTAAAGGGCTGTCTGGACAAGTGAGATCCTTGACGAAATCCAGGATTAATGTCTTACACACCTGTGTGGATTTAGTAAGACCTGTGGATGCATGAGGTTTTGTAATACACTTCAGTTTTTATGTTAACTTGAGTGAGAAGCATTTAATATCCTGCTTATCCAGATTGCTTGTAGATATGGTTCATTCTTTGGAAGAAGAAACATTAGTAACATATTCTCTTGTTCTTTTGACCATTTAAAAAACTATTTTGACGTGATTTGAAGCATGATTTTTGCTCTTAACATATGTGTGCTTTCATGATATTTTTGTATGGTGTCATCCTATTCCTAAATATAACAGTCAACCGTAGCTGCATGGTAAACTTCCGTTGCGCTTTGTTCACTGTTTGGGGGAGAGATTAGATTCTTTTTCTACAGTCAGCTGGGACATGGCAATTGTTAGCTATGTGGGACAGGTCCAGTGTGTGGTGCAGTACATGCTGTCCAGCAGGTATTTATGGGAATCTATTTAGCCTCTGGTGAGTCCTGGTATTAAGACAATGAATAAGAAAGGGAAGGAATGGCCAGGAATGAATCGCTCAGTTAAAAGTAAGTAGTGGAACAATAGAGCCTTTTAGGGTTTTTTTATGTTACCCGTTTTATGTAGATCATCAATGACAACGTTGGAATCATCTGGTGACTTGTCAGTGGCTTGTGTGTAATGTTGCTTGATGATTCCTCACTCCAGTAGAAAAGCATTATTATTATGGGATCTTGTTTGGAACCAATTAAAAAGCTGGGAGAGGTGTTAGATGCGCTTTCAAGCAAACAGTGCCCTTCCTCAAGTCCAGTATTTAAAAAAAATTAGTACAGTTGATCAGGGTGGATTTGATTTAAATCAAATTGATTTTAATTCATGATTTAAACCACTGGTTAGTAAGCCTTGATTTAATCACTGTTTTCAACCAAAAGTGCATTTTTGTTGTATATAACCTTCATTTTTGTTGTATATAACCTTCATTAAAATATTCCCACACAGGCTCTCTTTTATGGTCTGGCAAGCCTGCTACCATGAGAGGTTTTCCCTTCTACCATACCATTCCCTCAGTAGATCTCAAATCAGTGGAGAGGCTATACTCAGAAACGTATCCCTCAAGACTTCTGGAATATTCTGCTCAAAATGTTTCTCTCTTGTTTCTACTACCCCGCCCTCCTCCTGCATTTCTCTCCAGACTCTTCCTCCTTGCCCAGATCTACTCCACCCCCAACAATATTCATTTAACTTCTTCAAACTTTGCACTTTTAGAAAGAGGCAAGGGCTTGACTCTGTACACAAACTTGCAGAGAGACAATAGGGCTGATGGGTAGGTAGCAAGTCTGTTATCTTTCATCTCCATATACCGCTGTTAGTGAGGATGTTACCTCTGGAGGCATAAATCCACAGTTTGAGAACTGAAACTAAGCATCACAGAGGCTTACTGGGATCTGCAAGGCTGAGCACTGACTCCCACTGGGTTTTCTATAATCTTTTCTAATCTATAGAAGAGCATCTGGGAACCCTATAAAACTGGGCCTCTAATATAATCCATGGCCTGTTGTGACTTATTTATAAAACTTTTCTAAATAAGTTACATGAATATATTGACTCAAATAATATATAATTAGAAGTTATAATACCTCTTCCATGATTACATCTTTGAGCTCTAGCATATCTTAAATTAAAATTATCTGTATATAGGTTTATGTTTAAAAAAAAAAAGTATCTTAACAAAAAAATTAAAATACAGTTAAATAAAGAAGTTGATTGAAATTTTAAAATCTGGATTTATTTTTTTTTGTAAATTGTTGATTTTTATCCACCCTGCAGTTGTTTCACCAAAGAGAAATCCTTGGTTCTTATATATTTCCTGGACCCTCCTGGCTACAACACCACTCAAATCCTACTAAAAAGTTGAACAGTGTGTATAATGTATATAAGCTTTTTAATTTTTAAAACTGGCCTTTTCAGAAAACAATTTAATTGTATCAGAGTATTTTAGGGAAGTATATCTGTGCTTTACAGTATCTTGTGTGGGTAGATGAAACTGCCATCTGCTATTTGTCGGGTATACCAAAAAATACTTGAGAAAAGGGAGACTGCCATTTAACTGTGCTAATAGCTTAGCTTATTGCTCTGGGATAGTTAGAACTTTTTAGTCTGTAGCATTTATTGGTATTGATAAGACAAAGTCCACACTAAAAGTTTGACAGTCAGTGACAGAACGTTGTGAGTTAATCATGACTGCGTACTCTGGTTTTACATCAGTGTAGTTTTTGTAGTGCTCTACCAGTAGATTTAAATGTATTATCAAGACCCATGCATCTTTTCTAAACCCCCATTTTCTGTGTGAAGACCACATATAGATACTATGGAGGGACTTGAAGTTGTTTAGTGTTTCTATTTTAAACTCTGCCCATTTTTCAATCATTTGTGGCTTTTTGATGTGTTCATCCTGTGGACTGAATTTAGTTTCTGGAACGGCTTCTTCCCCAGGATTAGTTTCTGGGGTTTGGGCTTCTTTTTCTGATTGATTTTTAAATAGGGCCACACACCAAATGCCTGAATCATTTTGCTGACTGCCATCTACCAGTAGAAATGTCACACCCTGCCTCCCCAGAAAGGTCAAGTTCTCTCTTTGTTCCTACACCGTACAGTTACAACCCCTTTCATGCATCTGCGAGAGGAAACAACAGTAGAGGTTGCATGAACAATCTTACTTGTCATTTCTTGAGTTATAAATCTTCATTTTGTATTCTGACAGTTTTTCTTAACTAATATAAAGACTGCCTCTTATTCACAGTCATCAAGATAATCAAAAATAAGTGCAGAACCCACATTGGTGATGAATCAGTTTAAAACAGCTGTCAACAACAGTTTAGCCCATGGTCTGAACAGCTTAGTTAAGGTAGCATGTTAAATGATCAGTCATATTAAGAGCATGAAATGCTTTGAATGCAGTACTAAAGGTTTATCCAAATGTCTACAGGGGAAGTAGTATATTTTAAAGTAAAAAATAAAATGAAGAGGGATTTTAATAAGAGTCCAGTGATTTTTTTTTTGCGGAGAGCACAAGGCTGCTAAGCATAGCCCTGCAATCACTCCCTTACACTGCCCTGGGTATGCTGTCCTAGGGAAAGGGATGATATTTGTGCTGAATTGATGCAAGCTGTGTCTGATTGAATGAGATTCTTTATTATTGAATGAGGCTGTTTAGCAAATCAGATCTTTTGAGGTTTGATGCGCTTTTCAGACAGATTCACAAATCTGTTTCATTTGAAGCATTAAAAGAAAAACCCTACACACACAATGAGGAGTTCTAGTCGTTATAAATATTTACCACCAGACATACTGATAATTAATCTGGAACCTCATTCTTTCTCTAGTGGGGTAATTACATCAGAAGAAACATGGTAAAGAAAGGAGTACTAGTCACCTGTGTCTTTGTTTCACTATTTGCAGACTGTTCTAAAACATTGTAATGTGCTTCCTACCAAACTATTTTCCAGCCATGTTTGTTTGGCTGATTAGATATAGAAGCAGGTTCCTGTAGTAGCACTACAACCACTGTGAATCATTTTCAAATGCATTTCTGTAAGAATAGATTGGGAATGAAAAGAGTTATGATTTGAGAAAGCAGTGGTTACAGAAAAGTTATACCACAGATTTGATAGCGAATACTTTCCCCCTCTTCTCAAACTGTGTTCTCTGGTCACCAGGCATAAGAACCAGTTTCTTGCTCTCTGCCCCGGTCTTCTTTTCCACCCCTTCCCCTCCTCAACTCACACCTCCAATTTTTGTGCTATATCTAACCACAGTTTTGTTGCTCATGTCCACCCTTAGGCCCCTCTGCTCCCAAGGCAGGTGAAGGCTTGTACAATGACCTGTCTGATTAAACTGTCACCAGGATACCATTTTTCCCTTGTGAAACAGCGTGACTGAAATGAACTAATTAAATCCTGCTCCTGATTTGACCAGAAGGTGCAGCTGTTGAGTGCTGTGAAGTTTGCCTGGCCCGGGAAACACTGCCATCTCTGCAATACTTGTACTTCTTTCTAGTTGAGGAGTCAGCCCTGCTGTCTGTAAAGCAAAAGCATCCAAAGGTCCCAGTTAGGTTTCAGAGTCCATTGTTTCGCCTTCTCTAGAAATAGATAGGCAAATGCAGTCCTCTTCCGTGAAGATCCCTTTTTTATACATGAAACTAGAGGAATTACTATACAACATGCAAGCAATTGGTTTCATGTCAAAAGAGACAAAGAAAACTTGCTATCAAGTGAGGTAGAAGCTGCTTAAAATATAAGTATTATAATCAAGAATAATAACAATGGCCTTTTCTGGAGCTGCTGCGTTTCCTTACGTAAGGTCACGCTTTGCAGTCTGCTTACTACAAATGCCTTTTTACCTATTGTCCCCCTGAGCTTTTTACAAGCAAACATATGATCACCTCTGTTTATGTGCAAAGGTTTCAATGGGCCCATATCTTTTCTTGTTCCTCTTTTCTGTGTGTGTGCACGTACTTTACTCTTTGTGAGTCGTTTGTATCATCTGCATCAAGTGACTTCCTTTTCCCAAAGAATTGTGGGGGGAAATAAGCAGGCACTGGTCAAAGAGGTTTTTTGTTCTCACAGTCTAGTAAAACTTGGCTCAGGGTTCTAATACAGCTGAGAAAATGCATGACGCTACTGGAAAAAACTAAGTGTAAAAATGTTTGCTGAAATACGTATTATGTATGACAGGTTACAGCAGTTCATAATACAATTATATGGCCACATAAACTGCCATACAGTTGCCATTCTTTTTCAAATTTGACAGATAGTTGCGTTCCCAAATCTAATCTAGCACTTTAAAAAAGATACCTATGGTTGGAATATAGCCTTAAAAATGTGAACAGAGTAACACTGATTCTGTGATATGTCCCAAACACCGGCTCTGAGAGGTAGGAAGCGTCCCAGTCTTCTGTATCTACTTTGAAATCCAAGGATGCTTTTTCAATGATCCTTTTAGTGGAAATTGTGCTAGATCTAGTGGTAGAAAAGGAGCCAAGGTAGGGAAAGGCAGATAGTTGAGTTTAGAGAGGTCCTGCCTCAGCCTTTTAATTAGTGTCTAAAATTGAAATATAGACTTCTGTCTTCCTAGGAGAGCTCCCCCTTGTTCCGAATCAAACTAGTAACCTGTAATTTTCCCTTGGCCAGCTTCTGTGATGAGTTAATATTTTTCCAAAATAAATTCTGAATCACACTGAGAACTAAATATATGGGACTGTAAATCTATCTACTGATGGGGCTGCCATCAACATAATATGTGAATGCCTCACACTCTTGAATGTATTATCCTCATAACTTCTTCATAAGATAAGGAGATACTGTTATTCCCAGTTTGCAGATGGAGGGCCTGAGGCACAGAGAAACTGTGGTCAACTAAAGTCAAAGGTCACACGAGAAATTGTGACAAGGCAGGAAATTGGACCAAATCTGTTCAAGTCCTAGGAGTTGTACCCCAGTCGTTATCCACCCTTCATCTTTTAACTAAATCTAATATCATCTGCTCTGTGGCATAGAAAGCAAGATTAAAACTGGAGTCAGCCAATCTGTATATATCTGGCAGGTTACTGAATTGTTCCATTTTCTGCACATCGCTTGGACTTAACAGGGGCGTAGCATAGTAGAGCTATGAATACAAACCATAGTGATCAGGCAACAGGTTTACACCGTTCACATTGTCTAATTTTCTTGTGAATTTTTCATTATTGACAAGTATTTATTAATTCTAAATACGATTGCAAAAGCACTGCGTTGCTCTTAAAATATTTGGAATTCATTCTCGTAACTGATGTACTGAAACCATCTGTAAGGATTAATTTCTTTGTGAACTATTTCTTGGTGTATAAGTAACTAATAACATTTTTCAACGTATATTGTATATTTTCCTTCTCTCTTTAATAGGTACAGAGTGAAGACAGTGTGCTCTTATTTGTTGTTGCCTGGACAGTCACAGAGATTATCCGTTATTCCTTTTATACATTTAATTTACTAAACCATCTCCCTTATCTTATCAAATGGGCCAGGTAAGACTTCTTTATAAATCTTGCAACACCAAAATGTTTTTACTGACATGGCAGAAATGTACCCTTTAACAAAACAGAAAAATGATCCAGTAAGTAATGAAAATGGTGGTGATATGAAGAATTGGTGATCGTTAGCAAATTGGCACCTTTGTAAAAATGGGAGTTGAGACCTTGTAAGACCTTTAACTTCTCCAAATGAGAGGCCTCATTCTCTTCATGATCACGAAAGAAATAAAAATTCTTGTTTTGAACTGTTTGACATTTTGGTAACATGATAAAGCATCAGCTTCAGTATTTGAGTTTTGCTATAATCTGCGGGTCAGAGTGAATGATTTCATTTTTGTGCAGTCTTGTAGCTCAAAAGTGCTCGAAAACCATTGTAATCCAATAGATGAGACTATTGGTTTGTAGCAACAGTCCTTCTTATTTTTCACATTCGGTAGACCACGGTGAATATGAAAAGTGAGTTTAAGATTTTAGGTAAATGTGTAAATGAAACTTTAAAGCTGAAACGCTCTCTTCAATCAAGTAATTAAAAAAGGTATTTTGGGGTACTGAACTTGTGCCTAACTTTCCCTGCCAATTTGTCACATTTTCTTTAAAGGAAAAATAATCTTTCCCTCCTGTTTTGGATGAAAAAGCCATACAAAGGGGTTGTCTGACTATGTAAATGAATGGTAGTTAAATGCACAAAGTAAACAAATATGAGAAAACAGGCAACGCGTTATCTAGTGTCCTTTCTATTCATCTGAAAAAGTTCAGGCAAATGTTATATTTGTGGCCCCCTTTCATTGTGTTCAGTTGTACTGTTACAGTTTTTTTTCAAACCTCATATTTTTAATATTTCAATATGAGTTGGAATGGTAGTAATATATCCATCATGTATTTTTTTTATCTACTGTAAATTCTTCCTTTTTAAATTGGTCATCTAGCTTGAAAAATATGTTGTATGTTTGACAGGTTTTTGTATACGGGGCATTTCATTGCTCAGTTTTGGCAGTGAGGCGAGACTCGTTTTTAAAGCCAACATCCTCAAATGATCTAGAGCTCGAGTATCTACAAGTCTACTTTTACCTGACTTTTTATATCAACTAGGTACTAACCCTTTTAAACAAGAGAGCTACCTCTACTGGTGGGTGGCTTAGAAATTCAATTTATACTATTTTAGGGCTGTTCTCCAATCCAGTTTTTAACTCATTGGAAGCATCTCAGCTTTCAGTTCATTTTGACTCATTTTACATAGGCGGTAATGGATGCAGTGATCAAATACCAGTTAATAGAGAAACAATATTAATATTAAATTTATTTGAGAGGTTTAGACACTTAAGTAAGCATAACTTTGTTTAGCAAAAACCTGTAAGAATCCAGTCTGACTTGTTTAAAACTTTTCCCAAATACTTTGTTCTAGGTACACGCTGTTCATAGTACTGTATCCAATGGGAGTCTTAGGCGAATTACTCACAATATATGCTGCTTTACCCTTCGTCAGACAGTCTGGCTTGTATTCCATTAGTTTACCTAATAAATACAATTTCTCCTTTGACTACTATACATTCCTGATCCTGGTTATGATCTCTTACATTCCACGTAAGTACAGCATTAAATTAGATTATTATGTTAAAACAGTAGAGGCCAACTAGAAAATGGGGGATTAAAGTACACACATCAGTAGCTACTTGTACAGGTAGTAGCATCGTTTTTAAGAGTTACTTGGAAAAAAAAAAAAGATCAGGCGAAGGTAGTCTGTTTCTTCTCCCTAGTTGAAATATAAAATAACAATAATCCCTTTTGGTAAATGGTAACCATTTTTATCACTTTCCTGTGTCTGTTTTTTTTTCCATTAACAGAACTTTAATCTTCCAAAAAGAGTTTGAAACAAGTTAGTACAGAGAATGGACTGTAGTCTTTGTGAGAAATACTACTTTTGTACTCTGCTAGAGAGAGCAAAGTGAAAAAAGCTTGAACAAATAATATTGCTGATTTCTGAACAGGGGCACCTGAAACTTTTTTTTTAGTGTTCAATTTAAGTAGGGCAGGACTGTTGTTGTTGGGGTTTTTTGTGTGCAAAAATTGCTTAGAGAACACAGCTGGTATAAACCAGCCTTGTCTGGGTCATGTCATTCACTAGATGAACTGCTTTGGAGCTGAGCATTCAGGCTTGTTCAGTTATTTATGTGCATCTCTCCAACCTCCCATTTTACTGTGCTTTTCTTTAAAGCTTATCTTGTATAAATGCAGTTTTCCATTCCCTTTGCTTCCCAACCCTGTGCTTCCCACTTTCAGGATCCAAGAAACTGTTCCAGAATTGGTGCATTTTTTTTCATTTATTTTTTTTAATCTCCCTTCAGGACCCTTTTTCTTATTTTGTGTATGCAGTTCAGGGGCCTTTTTATTTTTCTCCCTATATACAGATAGCTTCTGCTTAGAGAGATGGTCTGGCATACTCACTCTGAGGACACAAGAAGCACCACACTGGGTCAGACAGTGGTCCATCTAGCTCAGCGTCCTGTCTCCAACAGTGATAGAAGTGGATGCTGCAGAGGGAGAGCACTGACTTGGACTGGATACTCTATCTATAGAGTGCTCTGTCTCCTATTCACTACTCCCTGGCATCCAGCATTTACTGGGTTAGAGATGCCGGAGGAAACATCTCCAACCGTTCTGTTTAGTAGCTATTAATAATTCTATCGCCCATGAATGTATCTAGTCCCTTTTTGAACAAGGCTTTGCTATCTGCCTCTCCAGCACCTGTGACAGTGAATTCCAGAAGTTAAGTGCGAGTTGCTTAAAAAGGTACTAGCACTCTGGGACTAGTGTGGTGTGATCTTTAATGTTGAAACGTAGTCTGGAATGAAGATCTACGTTGAATCAAACAGAAAAATAAGGTTTTCTTTTTGACGTTAAAAAAGTGATCGGGCCGGCCAAAACTGATGAATTGCACATCAGATCTCTAGTGAAGAAAAATCTGCATCTCCGTTTCCTCTGTTACTACTGCCTCTCTTTCTGCAGGATTTTAGTTAAAAGTGGATAAGCAATTTCAGATTTTCAGAGAGAGAGAGTGTGACCTTGTGTATGTAAGTGCCTTCTGTCAGGTTACGAGCCTGACTTTATTCTGTTATTTACATAAGTCTGTTCTCTTTTCAGTCTTCCCTCAGCTGTATTTCCACATGCTACATCAGAGGAGAAAGGTACTTTCTCATACTGAAGAACACAAGAAGTCGGAGTAATTCCAGCACTTTTTCAGAACTTTTCACACATCCGAATGCTGCAGATTTTTCAATAGCCAGCACGTTTATAGAGAATGAAGTTAAAACTAAATCAGAGGTAAAAAAAAAAAGAAAAAAAAAGGCCTATAACTTAGAAAGAATAACTAATACACTTGTTAACTTTGTTGACTATCATATGAAAACTGGATTATCATTTTCAGCATGCACTGCTATGGAGAATGTCTCAATTTTATGTGGCTTAGGCATTTTAGCCTTTTACCTTTCCTTACTTTAAATAAAAACCTTTTTTTAGCATATATTGCTATATGCCTGAGAGTTGAAGAATGAGTGACAAAGCTGTACTCACTAAATGCAGTGCTTGAATTGGATTTATATTATTGACATGCTTTTCTAAAGGTGCTTGACTGCATGCCAGAAATTGTATGTATTCCTGTAGAAGCAAACTATATTCCCTGGAATGCTCTAACATTTTGGCTGGGACTCCAGCAAAGGGGGTAGCCCAGGCAGATTGCTTCAATCTAGTAAAATAATTTGTGGATTTAAAAGGCAGTGGGGGTGAGAGCAGGGAAACAATTACTGGGACAGAGAGAATGCAGTTCTCTAGGAGATGAAACTGTACCGTGTCTGACAGGAGTGTGTTCCTTAAAGATTCAATTTAAACTGATTACCTTGAACACTGATGTTTTTAGTGCTACTCCTGCAGAGGTCATGAGGGTGCCCTAAAGTATTAAAATTGTTCTGAATACAGCAGCCTCGGTTCTCCTTTTTTATTTTTTAAAAGGAGAGTGAAATGTTAATGTTTCTGAATAACTGGACAGAGCAATGTCATTAGTAATGAACATATACAATGTGATAATGTGAAATATATCACTTAGTAACTTGGTGTTTTCTTTCCTTTTTGGCTTTAAATTATTATTTCCAATTGGTATCTGCTAAGCTCATTTAAGTCTGTTTTGTTTATGCACTTGTAAACACAGATAGGATTCAGATAGTTTAAGAATAAGTGTAGATAATTGGAATCTAAATGTTCCACACAGAGCCTTTTTCCAAATTGTTTTGGATGATTGGACTTAGATGTATAGTCAGCAGTTTCAATGATGCTGTTAAATCCAATATGAACCTAGTAAATCCAAATGTTTTTCTTTAAACCTAGTCATTTAGAGAAACAGTATTTCCATGAATGGGTTTATGATTACATTGTCTAAAAGAGCTGTTTTTAGAGAGAAATTTCTCTAATCTTTTTGTTATGACTCTTGTCAACTTGTTCCCGGTTCCATCCAGAAACCAAGCAGGATTTTACCAGAGCTCATAATGGTCAAGAGCACTCCACAGATAAACAGACCTTAACATTTAGTTCAAATGGTGCTGTGTTAGCAATGGGAGGGGACGAAAAAGTAAGGCTGCCTTAGCTCACAGGCTAATTAGAACACATCAGAGCAGTCAATTAATAGAGTCTGCTCTGCATCCTAATTGGCCTCACTGTCACGTGTATAAGCCCCTACATGTATAAAAATGGCCATGGGACGCTTTACCTAACCCTCATTTGAGAAGGTTTAGATAAAGTGGCCATGCAGCCATTTTTACGCACAGGGTCTTAATCCACGTGAAGGTGAGGTGTTTAAATTAGAGCAGCTCTCTGGGAACTGCTCTAGTTAGAACGCCCCTCCCCACCCCTGAGCACATGTATAGGCAGCCTAAAATTGTAGTTCATATTAAAACACTTTCTTCCTTTGGGGTAGGGAAAATATAAAGCCTACACTAAGTAAAAGTGCTTATGTATTTTAAAGGCAGTAAAATGTTGTGTATGTCTTGCTTCCTTTAGTGGACTAGAGAAATGCAGAGTGGCTCAAACACACTGCAACAAAATAGGGTATACTTATATTTTTGAACAATAAATCTGTTCCCTTCAAACTAGCTATCCAAGTTGATGATGGAGGGTGTTTTCAGTGGAAGGCACCTAAATAAAAAAGCAAAATGGCCTAAATTTCCAGAAATGCTGAAGTCTGTGGGGATTGTGGATGCTCAGCTGTTTTGAGAAGCCACTTTGATTTAGAGTGGCTTATAGTTAGGAGTCTTATGCTCCCAATGTTGTTTTTTTTTAAAAAATGACATATGAAATTAAGTACATTAATTCTAATTGGAGTTATACATTAGTTTACTTTGTTTCTTATGAAGCAGAGAAATTGCTGCAAATTGGGGGAAGGCTCTTTACAACTAACCTATTTAATTAAATAAGCTTTGTGTTTTGAAATGCTTAATCTGTACCAGTATCACAATACCAATACAAAGATAGTTGACCACACAAATGCAAATGAAATCCTACCCCTTTGTAAAAAAAAAAAAAAAAGGTACTCCCAAAAAGTGTTGCGTTGCGTTGTTTTGTTTTCAGGATTTTGTTACAAGAGAAAGCATCATCAGACATAAACCTCTTGCACTGGAAAAACAAGCAAACATTACAACAAGCAAAATCCATTTTGCACAAAAAAGAGAAATCTAACACTTGATCCTGCAGTGGTTACTCAGGCTAAACTCCTGCTTAACTGTAGCATCAGGCTCTGAGAGATCTTTTGTAATACATGAGGTTTTCTTTCTAATGCATATTTAGTTGTAGTTTTATTTCTTTTCATAAACTGAAAACTAGTAGCCTCCTCTGTAGTAGGTGTCTGTCCCTGAAATTTCTTTGAGTTTGAGAACCTAATACTGGAAGCTTTTGTAGTTCCCTTTTTTTTTTTGGTACAATCTAGGGTTATTTTTCACAAGCTTTTAGCTTGACTTGACTTTTCTCTCCTGTCAGCATTACCAAACTGCCACAGCAGCCGTCCCTTATCTGCATTGGTGGTTTTTGTGCTGAGCCTAATAGTTTTGTAGACAGGTTATTAACTTGTGCCCTACAATGCTTCTTCATCCATGTTTATCATTTCATGGAAAAGACCACAGTCCTTTTCAGTAGACACATCTCACACGGAGTTGTAGAAATTTTCATATTGTAAATCACAGTGAAATGCAGACTGTAGTACAGACAAACAAATGGTAATTTTTCACAATGTATGTTTCTATCAAAGATTTTTTTTAAATTACCAATAAAAAAGATTAGCATTTGTGTGGACCAATCTGCAGTGTCATTTAAAAACCTATCTTTCATAGTCAAATATTCATGAATATGCATCAATCAGATCCAGTATATTTTGATGCATATTCATGTGATGCAGTTTGGGTGAAAATTATACATGATATACAGCTGTTTTTGTATTTTTTTTCTATGTTGTGAAGAACAAGATTGTAATTTTATAAGTATTTGATTCACTAAGATTACAATAAGTTAAATGTATCTTTTGTATATTTAGAAAGCTGATAATACATGCAGTTCTGAAAGACTAAGCATAGACTTTTTATCCATGTATGGAAGATGTTTCTACTTGATGTTAATGTAGTGAAATGGTTTATTCACTAAATACCAATTGGTGGTGTTACATTGTGAAATAAATTGGTTCTGTGCTCTCTGCCTGGATTTGGACTACTGACAAGTGATGTTAATTCTTGTAATCAAAATAAAATAATTCTGAGTTAAACGTAGCATTGGTAGTATTTCAGGAACAAAAGCATAAATCTATTTGGACATGCAATAGAAGCTTGGTTAATCCTTAGGTTTTATTACAGTGTGCTTGAGTTACAGATTTCTTTAGCATATGTAACCTTTTTGCACTCAGAACCTTGAAACGTAGTAAACTTGATGTCCAGTAACTAATGTTTTATTTTCCAGCTTCAAGAAATAGCCATCACAATTGTATTGCAGACATGTGCAAATTCAAATATGCTATACAGCATCCTGTATGGCCCAGGTCTAGAATATCAGGTTTTTGCTCTTCTGATGTTATCTGTTCTCTTGATACTGGTCTTATCCTACAAGTACAGGTAATTGCAATGGTATGTTTTAACAAGTGCAGTAGACTATCTAGGAGTGTATTCACTAAATATAATGCAAATTGTATGTTACCAAGGCAGCATTTTAGGTATTCTCTAATGTTTTAAAACACTTCTGAGAGAGATTTAAATATCTAGATAAGGAGTGTAACCTTCTAATATGGTGGTTCTCAACCTTTTGTAGACTCAAGGCACCCCTAGTTAGACTTGAGGCACCCTTTAGAAAATGCCAACTGGTTTTTGACTACAGAAAAATAATAAAGCAATTCTTCTGTTGCAAAGAATTCAAAGACCACGACAGATCAGATAGGAAGTCATAGTATTTAAAGCTATTTGAAATATGGATTTATCTTGTAAATCATATTTGCACACCTAACAGTATTAGCATTGCATGGCACTCTGTGGCACCCTTGAAAGTATCTGAAGGCTTTCCAGGGTGCTGTAGCAGCCTGGTTGAGAATCGGTGCTCTAGTAAAAATGAATAATGGTTGAAGAATAGCATAATTCTAACCATATGCTCGTCATAAGATTTCATAACTACAGTGATTTTTTTTGTCTATTTGCAAAAGAGATGGAATAAACATTGTTTTCATATCCTGAGATAGCATGTCCCATGCATGATAGCGATGGCTTAGTGCTACTAAGTGTAAATAAAGTGTAAATAACACTTTCCCTTTCAGCATTCGTGCTGAATTCTCTAGTTTTGCCCAAGAAAATAATGCACTTTACTGACAATATCACCTTTATAGTCTTTATTCCAAACTAAAGAATTCAGTTTATATGGAAGGAATATTAATTTGCTAGCTCAGATCTGAAAGATGCAAAGTATGAGGAGCAATCCGCAAAGGGAATTGATTACAAATAGCCATCAAGGCTCATGTTTTAGGAGCAGGTTGATGGGTTCAGGCTTGTGTAAAACTCTTTGCTGGGGTAAACACAATAAAGTGAAAAACTGGATTTCTACATGGTCCAGTTTTATTTGGTATAGAGAAAATGTTTCTAGAGAGCCACTGCTGTGTCCTTTAGAAATGGTTCAAGCCTCCTGGTAACCTGAACCTTCTATTCAGCTTCAAATAGCTCTGAAATGTTACTTACTCGCTCGCCTAAACAGACAGAACTTTGACTAGTAAGAAAAGGGTTTTTGTGGGGAGGGGTTGGTATCGTGGTAAAGGATGAATTAATAGATTTATGCCCATATGGATTAATTTTGTGGCAGGTTCTCAAGGATCTCATATTTATCAGTGCTTACAGACGGAGATGGTACTTCGGGCAGTGGAATAGTATTTGACTGTGGAACTTAGACAGATTTAATCTAGTGGACCACTAATTCCTCCACCTGCCCCCCCAAAGATGTGATTGTTCTTGAAGAGCCATTGAAAATATGTACATGTTGTGTACTGAAAAATTAACTTGGCATCTAGGTTATCAGAGCCGTGGCAGTGTATTTGCAGCTTTTTTTAGCATACGATCACAAAGCAAGGAAAAAAAACATTCAAAATGTTATGTCCAAATTGTTCAGCCTGCTGATTGCCTCAGGTGTGGTATTGTGCAAATCCATAGGGTTCCATTAAACGCACGGAGAAGGCATTCGGAGATGAAATGGTTCAAAGTTTGAAAAGGGGTGCCGTAGTCACAGTGCAGTGAGCTATTTCAGCCCCATCAGCGTAACAAATCCACATTGGCCACGTCCTGTCCTGATTCAGTTTAGAGAAGACCAAAAGACGTCTTGGGAGATCAAAGCCAGCTGATCTAGTGCACCCATGTAAATAACTGACAAATAGGTTTAATTTTCTTAAATCCCCTGTAATAAAGTGTGGCTCAAAATATTTATAAAACTATTCACCTTGATGTTACGCTTCCAATCTTAAGGAAGTTCCAAAATGACACGGTAATTTGACTTTCTATAAATGAAGGTTCCTTCTGGGCAAGTGTTCCCAGCCACAAGGTTGGTATTACTGGGAATGCTTTATTGAAAGTGTCTGCAGACATGTCCTTAGTGGAATGGGAATAGGCACTAAACTACATTTATTCCTGTGTGTTGGTCCTACGCTTAACCGCCGTGGTTTAGGGAAGATATGCTGAATGCTGTCACTGGTACAGGAGCTTTTGAGCACCAAGATAGCTGTTTATAAATGTTATGTACAAAACGCTGCATTTAAAAAGTTTAACACTTTGAAGTTGAATACACAAAATGGTATATTCTTAAATTGCCTTTGAAAACTTAATTCAACCTCCTTATGTGTATGCCTTATGATAGGATAAGCTCACAGCTAGAGCAATTGAATGCTTCCCTGAAGAATGAAAGAAACGGGATTTTTAACTGATTATATCCCTCTGCAAATGCAGTTTAACATGGGTAATATCCTTCTAAGGGCTCATCCTTGTACAACTAATACTCCTAAGAAGGCTTCATTTTAGGGTGCAAAATCAGCCCAAGGATGCTTCTTTTATTTCAGAAGAAATCTTCTATAAGGGATAAACTCTTCTTATTGTACCACTGTACAAGGCACGCAGCATTTTATGTCATGGAACAAAACCAAGGTACCTGGTGCTTGGAGCTCACAATCTGATGAGTACTACAATGCCCAAAACAGATAGGGGTTGGAAGCATGGTTGAGATGCCAGGCTGTGGAGATTAACTGAGCAAAGCATCATAGAAGTGAATATTAAAAGGGTTGCCCCATCCAAGGTGTAGACTGTAGAGCAGTTTTATAAATTACCTAGGATACTGCCTACCTACTACAATGCCCTCCCTGTGATAACACAGTGCTTTGGGGTGTTTTCTCCAGCAGCTGAGCTGGGCTGAAGTTTTCCATGTAATTGTCATTCTGTTGAGTAAAGGAAGCAATTGAAACCAATTTCATCCTCTACAAACTACCCTTATTTAAAATACATTAACCTTTTTTGTTATGCTTTGTGCTAGAGGAAAGGTACTTTATGCTCACTGATTTCAGTAGGACAAACACTTCACAGTGCAACATAAAAGGCACTTGCTTTTATCAGAATGAATACATACATCTATGCAGTTAGTATTGGATCAAGTTGAGAGATTTTTTTTAATGCTGTCCTACAGTATGCTACTTACCTTTGCTAAGAGGCACAGTGCAAAGCAATTTAGACATCTCATTGCAGATCCAGAGTTTGAGTCTTGTTCTGGGTTTGTACCAGTAGCCATTCCTATTTGACCCAACTGTAAATGAGTACTTGGTCATTTGGGCTGCAGAGCCCAGGAAAGGGGGATGTGATGCTAACCCTTGTGTGCCTTTGGCCAAACAAAATTGGAGTGCTTTAATCATGATAGTTAAGTGGATTACATGGGCCTTGGGAAATCTTTGACCTTTTTTTAAATTTACCTTCTCTATTGCTATATTCTTCTCTATATAACCATATCCCTGTCCCCTTAAGTTCATCAGGAAAAAAAAATTGAAAAACCTGTAGGCAGCTCTCATTGGAACCATAATAAACAGATTTATTTAAATGAACGAATGTCTGCATTGTACAATATATACTGAATTAATTTCATTCTAGCTGATCTCAGGGAATATTGCAATTCTCTATTACATTTGTGTAAATTTTTTTTTTCATTTTACCACTGCTGCTGATGAAATTGAGACTGGCCTCTTGCATTTGTAATGGGAGAGGATGAATAAATCGGGCCTGGCTCATGAGGTGTACCAAATGGTCTAAACTCTGGTTACAGTTGATAGGAGCTACTGTTGTTTGGCACTTCTGAAAATCAGTCTGATTATGTAGATGCTTACCTTGGACAATTGTGGGTTGAAGTCTCATTACCCTTTCTTACCTGTGTATAACAGGACTACCAAACGATGATAAAGGCATTGTGCAGCTTAAACAATGTCTGTAATTCATTTTAAAGGTGTGACTAGCTTGTAGACATACCTTAGCTAGTGTTAAATTGTCTGGCTTATACAGGGTGAAGTTGTAGTGGAGTGGACTCTGGTGCAGGCTGCCCCAGCCCAACTTCACTCCTGAGTAAATACTTAGTTGCTTAGGCACAGGTGGAAGCTGCTGTGCTGCTGTCCATAATTGATCTAGCTGTATCCAGAATAGGTCAGGGGTATCTAAGTGAGCTGTGATTGTGGATTCCCACACCAGGGTTGGTCTCTAAACCATTGAGAACTTCCCAGCCAATTCTGGGAATTGGCCAATTCTTTTAATTCTGGTATTTCTCCATACCAGAATTAAAAGCAAAGCAAATATCTTCCCGACTTACTTGCATTATGGTGAATTTTATCGTTCAGTTTTTCTTTCCATTGAACCTACCCATGCAGCACAGCAGGTTTGGCTCTGAGCATTTTAAGGGTGGTCCTATGTACCGAGAAAGAGCAAAGTACTTCTCACCTTCTCAGGTCTGAGTAAAATACTGCAGCCAGGGTAGCACAACTGACTGTATCAGAGAGACATCCAGCTCAAGAAGCAAATTTTAAGTCTTTCGAGGATTTGTGCAGCTCGCTTTTTTTTCTTTGAGCTAGTTTAGCCTACAGACATCAAGGTTGATTATGAGTCAGACTGTTTTAAAGAAGCTGTAACTGCTTTCATCTCCCCTGGTTTGTTTTTCCTATTGAA